GCTGCTCTAACTTTACTCACTATTGAACACCTCAAGTATTTCTTAGAGTAACTCTTTCTCATAACATAGGTGGCTTGGATGTATCCCTTATAGTTAGGCGGCAGAGGCAACAAGATCAAAATTACGTATGAATTCACTTCTACTTCTGGTCTTTTTCAATAGTAGTTTCCAAAAATAAAGAGTTAGTTGCTCTTATATCTCTGGACCAGTGAGCATCACTAGCCATACCTTAGTTTATCCTCATCTCTTCTGTTAAAAATAAAGCTATGCATTTACATATATGTGAAAAGCAAGCAGTTACCCAAGATGGTCTTTTTCATCCAGATACATATTCTTGTCCCCTCATCCATGGATCATTTTTCTAATCCAAACCAAACTTGTACTTGGAAACACTGTTTACAAAATTCCACATTCAAAGCAAAATAATTAAAGAAGAACTTAAATAATAATTACCTATGTAAATTACCATTAAGTAAAATGATATTTATGTTGTCACAACACTGACGCATATCATAAAATCTTGACTTCGAGCTCAAGTTCTTCAGGACACAGGACTCGAAGAAAATTACATGTAATGAAAGGGTCATTAATTTTATAGTGGACACACAAACCTGCCAGGCACAAATCGTCTCCATCCTCTCTTCATCCTCTGTCCCTTCTCCTTGGTGCCTTTTCCCTTCAGAGACTAAAACTTCAACCCCGGTCTCACCCTGGTGTTGTCATCTGATCCAAGCACCTTCTTCCTCCCCTTCACAGGAATTATAAACACATGCACACAAAGCCACCGTGCGTGTTCCCTCAGTTTCTCCTGCTGCTCAAGTCTATGTTAATTCCAACCCAAGCATACACCTTAGAGGTGCCTTTCATGAGCACAATTTCCATCTGCGGGGAACTGAAGACTCAGAGATCTTTTGCGGCTCCATCTAATCCAGAACCCTACTCCAAGCCAGTCTGCTCCCTCACTTCCTCTCCATCGGTCTTTGACTGAGCATCTGGATACGCGACCCACTGGATCCAATCAGAGTGAACCACAGGGCTCTTCAGAACCACAGCAGGTGCGGATTTGAACCTAGGATCCTGCTGAGTGGGAACTACTGCAGTCATCTCGCCTCTGTGTGGAGCTCAAAAAGCTCTCAGAGCCCAAACAGCTAGGCTGAGCAGCAAAGAGAGACCACTCCAGGTGGAATTACGTGAACTTCTAAAGCAAGCTTCACTTGGGTTGTCAATTAAGAGAAAGAACTTGTTTCTTTTTATTGCCACCAGGATGGGTTGCACTGGTTTTGCTAATATACAGTCCCCAAAAACTGTCTCATCACTATATGTATCGCACACATTCAGTAATGAATCCTGGCCCTTCCAGTACCTTACATGGCTCTTTGGGGCAAGTTATTACTTTTTCCAAGCTTGTTTACAAAATGGAAATGATTTCAATGTGAAAGATTACTGTGAAGATGTGGAAATATGTATAACATTGATCATAGGGCCTAGCGGGTCACAGGTTCTTAGTAAGTGGCTGCTTCTATTCTTGATTTTGCAAAAACTATTCCCCTCCAACACGTGCAAGAGTAAATGACCCTACTTACTATGATCAGAATAAAAGGAGAGCTGGTGTTAACAAAAGACAAATTCTAGAATTTGGAGGAAAAAAGAAAAAGTAATGAGCCAGAACCTTCCAACTATAATGCTCTTGAAGGTGCAGGAAATTTTCAGAGTTTCTCTATGACCAGTTCTCTCATATTGTGATCTATTTCCAATTAGACCTTTTTCTTTAGTATACATCTAAATTAAATTAAGAGAGTAGAAAAAGCAAACTGATTTTCAGTGTACTTTTTATTCTAAGGTTTCATAATTTTTATTTGTAGTATCAAAAACAGAGAATCTACTTTCGATTATCTCCAGTATGTTTAATCACAATATGACCAACTATTAGGGGTTAAGATTAATTTATGCTCCTTTCCTTCCATTAGTGTCTGCTGTAACCATGTCATTATGCCAGTATTTTCTGAATCACTAGTGAATGGCAAAAACAAACATACCAGTTGTGATTTAATCAGAGACTTCACTGTTGAAACAGCGCGCACAAGTAGACACATTTAGAATAGTAAATGGATAACAAAAAACACTTACAGGCTCATTAATAAGAAGGCAATTAGGCCTTCTGGGAAAATTCATTTTCTGAAAGAATGCTAAAACAAGCTATAAAATGCAAGCAAAATTGTGTTTTGACATGAGTAGTGTACACTGTCTATTACATCATAATTTTTCTCTTGAGAAAAATGACAAGAATTTCTGTTCTTCAATATGAGTACAAGAGGGAATAAAAAGAATACTAGGGATATTTAATGTATTCTACCTACAAACTCCCATTCATTAAATCTGACTATCCTATAAATGAACTCCTCAGTACAAAGATCTTAGATTATCCTTGGAAGAAAAAAGGAATAATAAAGCAAGAGACTGCTAATAATGTCAGAAGGAATGCTATTTCCTGTGCCAACATAACATTATGCTAGGAAAAATGATTTGCATATAGCATATTTGGTTCCTTTGATAGCATGTTTACTTCTAGGTATTCATATACAAAACATTCATCACCAAAATTATTTAGCCTTACTGTTACTTCCTTATGGAAATATTTATTTCAAAATTGTCTGAGTATTCTTTAAAAAGATCTATGTGGTATTGTTTTCATGGTTCTGGGACATTCTATTGTAATCAAGTAAATATTGATAAGAAGCATAAACCCAGGGAAAATTGTTTCAAGTTCTAATTAATGCATTCACCATAGTCTTACAGTTCTACAGTACAGTGTTTGTGGCATTGTTTTTAGGCTGGCTGTCTTTGTCTTGGGAGCAAGTAAATCATCTGAGACTTTAAAATGCCAGAGCTGGTTCGGTAAATCTGTGGTCAGATCTGCTCACAGATGATCGCAGGTTCCCGAAGGCACTGATGCTGCTGGTCCATGGACCACAATTTCAGCAGCAAGATCCCGGGGCATCTTACAGTGGATGAAACCAACTGCCATGAAGCAGTTGCCAGCAACGCCTAGGTCGCTAGGAAAGACCCGAGGAAGGGTTCCTCTCCACTCTTAAATCTGCTCAGTGATCAAAGGAAAATCACATCAGGGAGCTGTGGACCACTAGTCCACTTGAGCAGCTGCTAGGTCACCACTGCCCAAGTAGGAGGAGGAAAATTTCGGCGGCTGTTCAGCTGCCGTGCTGGACAGGCTTTGGAGAGTGAGCCTGGGCAGCTGACTGCGGAATGGGAAGAACTGGGAAGTTCTTATATAAATAGACACCAATCTGGAAGGAGGTTTATTGTAAGTGTAGGATGGGACAGCAAAGTAGACAACAGAGTTTTTATATTTTCTATTTTACCTTCTCCACGAGGAAACAGAGAAAATAAATACATACTTTCCATAGTATTTCCAAGAACATAAGCATGGAGCTTTGATTCTATCCCTAGATGTCTTTTGCCTCTTCCTAACCTAAAACTTTGAAAAACTACGAGTAAAACTTTCAGCAACTCAACTATGTACTCTCCCATTTGATTTTAGTTCTGAATTCTTCTTACTAAAAGACTTCCTAGGATGACCCACGCACAAGGATCCAGTCAGCACCACCCTGCTCATCACTGTTATTAGCAGAGCTCTACAATCACATCAAGAGCAGCCACAAATTATTTCATTAGGACTACTTCATGTGCTCCTAAGACAACTGTAAATGACAAGAGAAGCCACGTAAAATTTTTCTGGGTTATCAGCACACAAAGCAGAATGCCAAAAATTTCAACCACAGTTAGATAAGGAAGTGGCAGTGTTCTACAACAATCAATACTATCCCTACACCCCAGGCCCAGTTCTCTCCAGAACCACAACCATCTGAAAAACCACACAGGACAAAGTTTTTAAATTATGCAAATTCAGGAGCTGGGGATATACCTCAGTGGTACAGCACCTGCCTGGCAAGGAAAAGGTCCTGAGTTCGAGTCCCAGCACACACAAAAAATTAAATTATGCAAATTCAATTTTTACTTAAAAATATTAACTACAAATGAAGAAAACTCGCACAAGAATGTAAAAGCAAAATAAACACACCTCTCACCAGAGACTCTTCCTGAAATATATAACTCTGATGTGCAACTGTGAGTCTTTAAGAATTTTTTCCCTAAAAAAGAAAAAATTGCACCAAGACAGTTTGAAGTTTGAAAACTGTCTACCTCCGAGTTCACACTATAAACACTGAAACATAATTTTTAAAAAGTTTCACAAAGCACAGTTGGATGTAACTTATCTTGTTTACCACAAAATATCAGGCAATACAGTACTCAAATTTTCTTTTGCTATGTACAAAAAGCAACATAAAGTCTCTCATTCAGAGATAGATAAACACAACAAATAAACTTTCCGTGACATTAAAAGATTATTTCATGGATGTGCAACTTTGTTTCTGGCTTCAATTGAAAGAAAAATTATCCCAACTGATGTATTATTCACTTACTTTGTAACGAAATAGCGCTTTAAGCTATACCATGAAGTGATATGTCTTGCATTATTTTTCAGTAACTATGACAAACAGCGTGGATTCTGATGAAAAAACAAGTCATGTTCAAAAGCAATTACAACCTGTTTAAGCAGAGAAACATCATTTCATAAAGGAACACAGGCCAGATACATGTGATCAAACGATAAAGTCAGAGACGAAGACACAGAGGGAATTTTTACACTGACAGAATAAGAAATGTGCCAGTTTGGACAAAGGCAGAAGCTGATTCTAATAAACAAATTTAAAATAGGACATTTCCCCCCCCTTTCGAAAATGAAGGAAAAGATCAAACACATACACACAATCCTCTCTCCCTCTCTGTCTCCCTCTCTGTCTCCCTCTCTCCCTCCCCTGCCTTCTTTGTTTGTCTGATCAGTGTGTACATTTTCCTGATGCTTCCTGCTGTTGGCTTTCCATCTTCCTTTTCCTGCCCACTGTGGGGATAAAGGTGGGGAAATGGCGCGGCCTGGACCTGTATTGAGCCTGATGCAGACTGACTTTAATACCAGCTTGAGTGAATCAGTAAGAGGCACTTCAAAAATACTGGTAGGAGCACATGCACTTCCTCTATATGGAATTGTATGGCCGGAATTTAATATTTACTACTATACACACAAGCTGCAAATCATCACTGCTCGACGTAAGCGATTTGGTGGGAGAACTGACACTGGCTTTGGAAAGGGGACGGAGGATAACACTTCCAGTTTTTGCAGAACATGTCCAGCCGCAAAAGATACTTGGTAAAAACAGCCAAGCTGTGACCTCTGTGACTCTGGATGTGGGGCTGGTTGCTGCCAGAGAGGCGTGGGAGGGAATGCAGGAGGGGATGGTGGCAGAGGGGCGGATTTATTTTTCAAATCTAAATTTATGAAGATAAAGAGAAGAGCTGTCAGCGCCACACATGCCGAAGCCCAACTACCAGCCAAGCTGGCCTGTTTCCGTCTGGACAGAAGAGACACAGATGACATCTCGCAGTCTAGGAAAAGCGACAGTCAGACACGGGAGGAGTAGAGAAGGAAAAGCTGGTCACAGAAATGCCCAGCTAGTCATCATTCCATTGCCTGAGAATTTGGAATTTTAACGCACTGAGGCATCCAGAAGAACTGGTCAAGCAAAACCAGAAAACAAAAAAGCAAACCTGGAAACAAGCTGCTCCAGTGAATCTTCCTGGTAGGTAATAAGTAAAGGAGAAATTAACTTTGTCTCAGAGGCCGCAAGGAAAAGTGGCTGCTCACGTGAGCTGGAAGGTCCCAAGGGATCAGCAGTGGGACACACCAGGAACAACACGCCAGGCGGCACCTTGAGCTGCGTATCCAGGTTGGTGTCCTTCCATAAAGACAATAGTCCCTCTCTAGGTCACTGGTAAGACTGCACCCAAAGCTGCACACTATGCTGTACACTGAGACGAAAAGGCTGAGCCCAGGCTTGAAAAGTGGCTGAAAATACTGACTGACTGCTACTTCTTCCTGAAGTCAGAGTACTACTAACGCTAACTGGAACTTGTACTTACCTCAGGTAAGGATCTACCCAAGGAAAGTTTTTTTAAAATACAGCTAATTGCTGTGCTTGTGGTGATAAAATCATGGTCTGGACCAATCTAGGATGTTTATGTTTAACCATGATTAAAATGTATGACTGAGCCGCTGAAACACAAGCAGAACACACACACACAAACACACACACACACCCTATATGCACTAGGGAGTTCTGAGAGTTAGGGTGCAGTAAGATGACCTATAATGAAGGCACTTTGGTGACCTTAATGTATGATTATACCCTGGAAAGTTACATAATACTTTACAATCGACAGTTCTACTTTACATAAATCACGTCACTTGATCCTCATAAAAACTATGTAGAAAGGTCAGGACGCGTATCATTATCCCCATTTTATAGATGAGAAAGCCGGGTTTCCAAGCACCCCCTCTGTTATTGGTCTTGTCAGTCATCTGAGACCTTCTACAAACAAAAGCAAGAAATGAGAGCTATCTAAACCAGCGCACACATTTTAGTAGCTCTCTGCGTTCCATGTCTGTTTCCCAACATAGAACAACACTACGGTGGCATGTCATTCAAATGATAGGCCAATAGAGGACGATCTGGTTAAAAAGAGGCTCATCATGAAGCAATTTTACACCTTAACTCCAAAAGCTAAGGAAAAGTCACAAAAATGAAAACACGCTTAAATTTGTGATTTCAATGATGCAAAATGAATGGGTATGTAATAAATCAAAGACACAACAATCCCTAGGCACTCAAAATTTGCTTCTTAAGCTTACTACATTAGGATAATGTAAGAAAGTAGTGAATTAGTGCTAATGAGTATGATTTAAAACATATTTAACTGAGTAAGTTACTTTTAAATTCTGAATGTCAATTTGTTTTAGATGTCTAAGTCTTATTTATTGAAATTTCTTGAAAAGTTCATCAGTTAAGGTGGAATGTGAGAAAAAGTGATGGAATAGACCATCTCTAGTTTATGTCTTTGCAAAGAAATCTGACTGGCACAGAAATTTTTGACTGTCAAAATGATTTATAATAGCCTAGAAAAAAGGAACTATTTGCAAAATAAACTTTTCCTCTATGGAGAAAGGTGGATCACGATCTCACTTTAAATTGTGCATGAAACACTCACTTCTGCATATATGTTGATACAGAACGGCAAAATTGACAGATACAATCCCGTGAGAACCACATCTCTTAGAAGTCCCCATTCTATTAACTAACTATAACAAAGTTAAATGTTATGATTTGTTATTTTAAAAAAAAAGAGCCAGATGTATTTATTCAGCTCAGTCACCTAGAACTGGACATCTGACACAACAGTTCATTTGCGGTATCAGCTGAAAAGTGCTCTTTACACTGTGCCGCAGGAAGTTTAATATTTACCTGTTTGGTAAAGGGTAAATAACATTTAAGAAGTGAAGAACCAAAGTTTCTTTACTGCAGAAAATATATCCATCAACTGTTGACACGGGAAGAGCTGTTGCTCTCGAATGTCCGTCAGTGTAATCACGCAACTGGTAGAGTTGAAACTTTCAATTAACAAACTACACGCCCTTTCAAGTGCAGGCTGGGCGCAGGGACAAGCACTGCGCCGGAATCAATACTCCACGCCACTCGGCTGCATGTAATGAGTTACATCAAGCAGGGTTCCACCACCGGGCATTGTTTGCCGGAGATGCAAGCAGTAAGTCTTAAACCAGGGAAAACCAAACGAAGCCACGACACTGTCGTGGCTTGGAACTGTTGTTGCCGTGTGCTCACCTCACCGGCAACTCGACGTGTCCTTGGCAGGCTGCGGCTGCCCGACCTCTGAGGGACCCACAAGCCGCCCCCCATCTGAGCTCTGACTGCTTTCCTAGAGCCAAAAGGGCGAGGGGGAGGCGATGGAAAGCAAACACACGACTGCTCCGCAAAACAACAGCGTGAGTTTATTTCCAGGAAATCGGGCAGTCTCAACAAGAGACGAACTGTCAAGTACAAAGTAAGTTCCCCGCTTGCACCCTGTGGGCTGGGCGAGGCGCGCGGCTGCGGCGTTGCGGGTCTCCCGCGTCCCCTCGGCCACCTCTGCGTCTCTGTCTGCACACGCGCCCGCCAGCCGAGCTGCGCGGGTGGCTCGACCGGAAAAGTTGCCGGGGCCGGGGGTGGCACGCGAGCGCCCGCCCGCGCCCCAGCGTCCACCCGGAGAAACTCCAGGGTCGCCGGAGCGCAGCCACCGCCTCCAGGAAGGGCACCCAACTGGAAGGGAACGCAGGACCTGCCCCGGAGCCCGCCCCGGCCCTCGGGCTCTCGGAGCGGCTTCCCCAGGACCCCGCGCCCCTCCCTGGGGTCCTCGGGGGACCCAGCCGGGCGGTGTGGAGCCGGCTGGTGGCTCCGCAGCACGGGCGGGCTCCGGGACCGCGCCGCCCAGGACGGCTCTGCGCGGATCCCAAGAATCACGTTTCAAAACAACTTCAGACGCGCGGCCAACGCACCCAGCAGCAGCCCCGAGCAGGGCTCCGAGCCGTGGCGCGAATCCAGGAGGAAGCCGGCGCCGGGGGAGGAGGAAGGGGACTCCCAGGGAGACCGGGAAGCGGCGGGACAATGGTCCGGGAGGCGGCTGCCGGGACAGAAAGCACCTGGCCGGCGCGCGCGCTCCCTCGGCGTCTGCACGTTCCTGACAATGGCTTTCCGGGGAATTTGCGAACAAGCTGGCGGCAGCCAGCAACAAGCGCCCGCGGCGAGCCGCACCGCGGTCGGCCCCCGAGTCCTAAGTACTTTCCCCCCGCTTCCCCTCCGGCCCAGCGCAGGCTGCGACGCCGCCGAGGCCACCAGGTCCCCCACGAAAAGCGCGGGGTCCACGCGCCGCGCACGGCCGCGTCCCCCGCGCCCCGA